AGGAAGTACATTGCTGAGGGGAGCAGCTGGTGGGTCAGGAGAGGTCTACAGCACCATGTGGATCATCTCCTGGGCCCAGATCACACATTGCACCACCAAGGAGGGCCCGAGAAGTTCGTTTTCGTACAGTTTTTATAGGTTTCCTATAAAAATGGAAGAACTATTGATGTTTCAATCATTTATGTTTATGGAGCTTTAGAACAAACCTGCATAATTTAATAAGGTAAATCTCTGCCTTGCCTAACAAGCTGGGAATCTTCACTCTACTAGGGTAAAGCTCAAAATACCTCACTTTATTCAAAATCAGTCACACTTTTTTGGTGACATATTTCCCTTTCCCATTATTACTGATTTCCAAATAGCTGTCAGTGAGTTTCTCCTCTCACTTGTTTATTATTGACTCATTTGGTGGCAAAGTTCATAGAAGTTGGGGACTTGGGAGATGCTTTGAATATTTTCATGAAAGCATTGCTGAAATGATTCAGAGGAAGAGGCGGCCAGTTGGAAGAAAAGATTGTTCGGTAATACACTAGTTTTCAACAACATGCTTAGAGAACTCTTAAAGTGGATTGGGTGTCAACCTAATGAACACGATGTTTTGATTTAACTTTTTTAAGTTTATGTGATGGTGTATCTTTCCAAAATGGGCAAATAGTCGAGTTAGAGAATCTTTTGAGGCTTTCTTCTACCAAGAATTGGAGGGAGGGATGTTGATACAATCTCAGATATGACATGAATGCTATTCTAGGCAATGTTGCCTCATGTCTTGTAAGAAATGAGTAAAGGGTGAGCACATTTGTTTGGCTCCATCTTCTGCAAAAGACAGACAATGTGTAGGTGAAATGTGAGGCTAACCACAGGGTGCCCAGGCCAGGCTTAATCACCCCATCTTGGTATTGTGTTTTTTTTCTCCCATCCTGCCACTTTCCCAATGCAATGTTAATGAAAACAAACAAACAACAACCAAAAAAAGGCTTTGAAAGTGAAGGGATTGTTTCTTGATTTTCTGCTGCTAAGAATAATGAAAGTCTTGTTAACACAGAGATGTATAACAGTTACTCTTAGGGACCATGGGTTGATGTTAGTGTGGTCAGTCCTGGATTAAATCATCTATCTCCAATTTGTGTAACAATATTGGTATATGAAGCTACACTCATTACTATTCACATTTTCTATGTTAAAAGTTGTGCTTTGAGCCCTCCCTAGTGGCGCAATGGGTTAGGACGCAGCACTGCAAGCTGGCTGCAGCAGCTTCAATGCAAGTTCAACCCCTACCTGGAGGTGATCCACATGGCGTGGCAGACCTCTCCTGACCCGCCCGCTGCTCTCCTCCGCAGTGTACTTTGTACATATGCCTGTTCTGCTCCCCACTCTGTCTCTGGTGAATCCTCTCATCGCCCCTGCACCTCTGGCCTGTACCCCAGTTCTATATGCATAAATAAGTAAATATTTTTTGTTATGTTTCACTTCCAAATATGAAAAAAAAAAAGTGGTGCTCTATTTTCATCACTGAGTATGATTGGTGAAATTGGCCATGCAAGTTTCTAAAATGCCATGCTATGGCCTCCCTCGTGGCATAAGGGCTTAAGTCTCAGCACTATGAAGCTATCAGCAGTCACTGCAGCATGAGCTCAATCTCCGGCTGGCAGTTGACCCCCATCACAAAACAGACCTCTCCTATCTCTCCTGATGCTCCCTGCAGCAGTCTATTTCAGTAGATCAGCCTGTTCTCCTCCCCATTCTGTGTCTGGTGAATCCTCTTTCCTCCAGCCCCACACATCTGGCCTGTACCTCAGTTCTTGTATGCATAAAGAAATAAAATAAATATTTTAAAAAATCAATAAAATAAAATACCATGCTCTTCAAACCTACTTTATTCACAGAAATGTTGCCCAATTTATTTTCCCCAAGGTAAAGTACGTTTTTAATGTTATTTTATTGAGGGTGGGGTAGGATATCTGTCATTTAAGAAAATGAACAGAAAATGTTAAAAGCAATGAATTGCAGCAGGGGATCAGTGCACAAGCGGATTTGGCGGGTCTTGGAGTGAAGAAGCCTTACTCCCTTCACATGGCTTCATGTTCTAATACCAGTCAAGCAGTGGTGATGCTTGAGTTCCTCTTGCCTTGTCAAGGGACACAGCAATTGACCAAGGAAAACTCTTTGGCCCCATAGAGAATGAGTGTCCTTCCTGAATTGGGTCTAACCAGGAAGCTGTCTGGAAGTATATGGTCATAATCACCTCGTGAAAATGTGCGACAAGTGGATTTCAGGAAAAACTCATGGTTCTCTGTAGCATCCAAGTGGCAACTTTGCATAGGTAAGTGATAGGTCTGAACTGGAATTGAACGGCCTTCTATGGCGTGGGGGTCAATGGTAGGTTTAAAGAGAAGGGAAGGTTTTCTGCAACTTTGGCTACTCAAGCTGACAGTAGTAACCACTGGTTTCAAGAAACAAAACAACTTGGTTGGTTTGGTTCAGAGTTCATTTCATCCCCAGATGTGAGTGATATTTAGTGTAGGAAGTTGGCTTGTCTCATAATACCCACAGGTAGAACATTCTGTCTGCAATTACAAATTATCTTTTATATTAATTAAAGGAGTGTCTGAGTACTGGTGATTCTTGGTACTGAATTGTTTTGACTGTGAAGTTCTTAAACTTTTTTGCTTCATAATATTAATGCAGCTCATGTTAGAGACCCTCTTAACATCAATGACTTATAGTTGAAACATTATGTCTTTTGCTTTTAATAAATGAAAAATGTTATTTATTTAGCTCTGGGAAAATAAATAACACAATAAGTGACAAAAAGCTAAATAAAATAGACTGATGTTAAATGATCATCTCCATGCACAATAGTATTATTATAGAAAAAAAATTAAACTTATTATTTGTATTTGCTTCCCCCCCCCCCAGTTTTAACTATAAGGATGCTTCAGAAGTTGAATTATTAAGAAAATTCCACAGCTATACTAACCCCACATATTTGTGATGTGACTGTGTGAGGTTAAGGTTCCACTTCCATGAGAAAATAAATTTCTCTCCTTGGGGATTTTGAAGTAGCCCTCTAGGAACTTTAAAAACATGTCTTTCATCAGGATACTTCTAAAATAGGGGGAAATGCAGCCCTCATCTATCAAAACAATCTATTTGGGTATAGATAATCTTCAGGCTCTGAAATTCTCGACATGACCACCATTCTAGGGGAGGAGTTTCTGGTAGCCCAGCTTGCAGCTAGCAGCCCCTCAAGCTGCACCAAAAGTAGGATTAACAAAATTGAAGAGAAAGCACTTGTGATTTTTCTTCCTAGAAGTTAGATGCTTCATTGGGTAGGAAGGGAAAGGAGATTTTGCATCAAGCTTGCCTTCACACTCAGTCCTGGAGGAAAGCTACTAAATCTACCCATGTGCACCCTTTGTGGAGTGTATTTAGTGTCCTATGAATGTCACTCTGGACCAAGCCCCTAAAAATGAGGGAAATTCAGTGAACCAAGGCCACTACCTGTGGTAATACCAGTTCACCTAGGTCCTTACCTGAAGAACCATATTAATCTGATTTGAGGCACCACTGGCCAGGACACAGCATGTAAGAAAAACCTAACTTCCAGGTAGGGCAATGTCACACAGAATTCAGAGGTTGCAGTTTACATCACTAATAGAGCTGGAAAGAGCACTGCTCCAGGGAGCATCTTTACGAATGTAGCTAGGCCTCCCCTTCCAGGGCCCTCTCCTGAAGCCACAGATACCAGTGCCAGCCCCTCTTCAATCTCTGCTTCTGTTGTCTGTTGTCCACATAGGTGGTGTGGGGCAGCAGTTGTAGTCACTTGGTCAATAGGCCCCAAGGGGGTCAGCAAGGCCTAACCCAGGTCACACAGCTGCCCTACCAGACCCAGATGCGCCTCCCCCCCCCACACACACACCATGAGCACTTCACTTAGGCTGGGCTCAGTGGGAAACTACCAGGTCAGCAGGCAATCGGCCCATTCTCTGAGCAATGCCTCTCACCACTGCCTGCTGTGCAGGCACTGCAGGGTCCATCGGAGCACGTTGCACTCATCTCAGGGCTGGGTAGCCCAGACCCAGTGCAACCTCCTGGGCAGTCCCCGGTCTGTAGGAAGCCACCTCAGGCACTGGTCAGTATAGGTCTCAGGGAATGGCCAGCACTGGGGCGGCTGCTGAGTGCTTCTTTCTTCAGAGTACAAAAGTATGTGAGTGTCAGTTCTCTTCCAAGAACAGAGTTGCTTTTCTCATGCTCACCCTCAAATCTAGCATATTTATGCAAGGAAAATGTGGCTTCAGGAGAAAATGCAGGGCCTAAGAATGAGCAACAGGTACACATTGCTCATTAGGGCTTCTCTAGGCCCACTCTGGTTTGCCTATATTTTTACCCACCATCCCTTAGGCTATTTCAGTGCAAGAAGCATGGTAGGCAATAAGGATGAGACCCAGAGGAAAGGAACATGAAGACTGTATATCACATAGTGCTTAGTAATGCAGACTAGAGTAGCTTTCCAGAAGCCTCTCCACTTGCCCATCTAATAGGAAATTGGGGGCTTGCAAGGGCTTTTTTCAAAGAGGGGAAACAATTTTTTTGGACTACTTTAGGTATTATTCTTTCTTTTGAGCCTCTCTCACGACCTTCCCCTCAGCCTCCTTCCCCAGACTCAAGACTTAGGACAGGTGAATGTGGTTCGAGACACTGCAGTATCCGTCCGCCGAGTCCAGCCGCGCTGATTCACAGACGCGACTGCCGAGATGCGTGTACATTTGGGGCGCGTGCTTTGGGGGTTTAGTTGGAAAGTGTGGTGGTGGGACTCCTGGGAATGTGGAACTAACACCAGAACGTTCAGCTATTAGTGTGCTTCTCTACGTCCAACGCTGCTTTTTCTCTATCCAGATCCCGCCGCCAGGGGTGGGGGCGGGACGGAAGTCACCGGCCGCAGCGAAAAGGAGCTCTGCGACACTCGGTATCCCTCCGCTCGCAGAGGCCGGATCCCCTTCCGCGACACTAGCTCCTCCCCCGGTGCATTTTGGTACTGGGGACGTGGCCAGCAAGGTCTGCGGAGGAAAAGGTAGATGGTAGTGTTCCGAGCGGGTCCCTGAGGAGCCCTGGGGACGAGGAAGTGAGGGGAGGCTGGGAAGTACCGAAAAGTGACAGTTGGCAGTTACGGCCCTTGATCTGATTAAGCACGTATCTCGGCCTAAATCCCGGTGCCGGGCCCTTCCCTAAACACAGTTGCCGCCATTGTTTCGTGTCCTTGTATCTGCCTGACTGTCAGTCCCTCTTTCTGTAGGCCACAGCAGCCCTTGAGGCAAGGAAGTGAGAAAACTGCCACTGATCCGAGCAGAGCAGGTCAGTGAGAAGACGGGCATCGCTTGGGAGTGTGGATCTGGGTGTCAGATACCAACTGGGAAACGTGACCTGGTCCTGGGGCGCGGGGCGGTGAGAGGGAGAGGGACGGAGGTGATTTGAGTGGCACACACAGCGATAAATTTAAAATGATCTGCCTCTTGTTGGCTTGGTTTCCAGACACTCGCCCCACCTCTGACCATGTTTAGGGAGGGAGAGCACAGTAGCGGCTTCTAGTGGAGAAATGGCTGAGTATGACTGAAGAGGGGCTGCTGCTATGCGAGAAGACAGTTGTCTCGCGAAGGAGAGCTTGCAAAAAAAGGTGGTAAATGTTTAATAATAACCAAAGCCCCAGATTACCAAAGGATTTCAGTCGTGTTTACTAGTGTGACCGTTTATAACCAGGTCTCTCCTACTGACTTCATTTGGCCGCTGGATTTGTATCATGCATTAATATGTGAAGGTCTGTTCCTAAATTTGCTGCACTACACGTTTCTATACAGATCTGTAGGGAGCAATGGACCCCAAAGGGAGAGGGAAAAATTGTTCTGATATCCAAGTGTGAGCAGTGCTTGAAGGTGGTAGAAGGTTAAGACTAGAGCAGATAGGGGCTTAGGAGAAACTCTAGAGCCATTTTCTGCCATTTTTCCAAACAGCCCTTGTGTTGCAGAAAATGGTAAGACTTTGGGAGAAAGAAGAAACAAAAAAAACCCTGAAATTTGGAAATAATACTTCTCATTTTCCTAGCCCATTTTTATCATGTGTCTGACATTTGTGCTGTTTGTAGGGATGCTTTAGTAGTCTCTGTGGGGGAATTATTGGGTTTTAGGAAGGGAGCAGAGGAGCCTGGAGATTTGGGGGGAAGGGATGGGAGAAAGGGAACTAGGAAAGATTTGGCAAACAGATACCCGGGCCCAGAAAGGATCAGTATGCTAGTGCGGATCTCTACCAAAGACTCAGTCTCTCCACGGTTTCTATTTATTTATTTATTTATTTGTGAATCTCTATGTGTAGACCTGCCCCTAGGTATTTGGAATTCTCAGCTGTGAACATTTGTAAATAGTAACCCAACTTGAAACTAAGAAAAAAAGCAAAGTGCCATCTATTAGGATTGGTGTGAGAGTGGGCAGATAAGGAATGATTGAGACTAGACAATTCTATTTCTTCAATTTTACTGGCTTAACATATAATTGGTTTCCTGCTGCTTTAGTTGGAAGTCTTGGTAACTGGGGGGCGGGGGAGGGGAGTATAGAAAGCTAACACCTGCTTTTCTTGCATCCCACTTAGATTTCTTGTACTCCTGTCTTACCTTGCCCAATCCTGAGCTAGGACTTGCCGAATAAATCATTGGAGAGAAAAGTAGTGGTAAGCAGGGAGGGAAGGGAGCATCCATTAAGCAGTGCAATGAGGGGAGGGGACCAATAGGAAAGAAACACTAGACAGGTGGCAAATCTAGGAACCAACCATGATCTTTTTTCAGAGATCAGTTTCTATATCCATCTTTGTCCATAGATCTGCCTGTAGGTCTGGCATAGGGCTAGCCATCGTTGGAAGCAAGAAAGGAGAAGAAAAATAAGATCATTGCAGGTTGGTATCAGTGAAGACCTATCGAATAAGGTCGTAGAGATCTGTTTGTGCCTAGTAAGGGTGAACAGCCAGTCTAGGGATTCCTTAGTCTTACTCCCATTCAGTTTTCCCACTCACCAGACTTCTGTTTTGTGTGTGGGGAAAACATTATTAGCATCCACACTTGGGAGTGTGTGAAATGAGGGAAGACTGCTAATTATCTACCTTTCCCAGTCAACTCTGAATTTCTCTACTACCCTGTCTCTGATAATCAACATGAGACAAAAATTGGGAGAGACTCAATGCCCTCTTTCTTCCTCCATCTCTAGGTCCAACTGCAGTGGCAGATCTGGTGATTTTGGAGTGATAGAAGACCACCAACCTCCACAGGCTGCTCTCAGGCACACAACTCTTTCCTTTCCCAGAGGAGCATCCTCTTCCTCATTGGCAGAGCCTGTAGTTGGAGAGGGACTAAGTGACTACTGGACTTGGATGCAAACATCAACCTGTGATAGACCTTTGGTCAAGGCAAGACCAGCGTGGGGCATATAACTTAGCCTTGCCTTTAACTTTGATCATAACTGGCTCTGAGGCTAAGGCAAGGGTAGAGAAGGGGCTAGGACTGGCCTGAAAACTGGAATCTGGTCCTGGCTGGCAACACTAGAATCAAGGCTAAGATCCAGGCCAAGGAAGTGACTGAGCCAGAACTGCAAATAAGACCCGTGACCCAGGCCAAGTCTGGAGATGGAGCAGTGGCCAGGACCCAGACAGTGACCTGAGGCCATGGCTAAGATAAAGGAAACAATCAACATGAAAGCTGTAACTAAGACTAGAGTCACGGCTAAGACTAAGGCAAAACCCCTGACAGAACCCAGTACAGTCCAAACCGAGTCAGAGGCCATGCCTGTACCCAGGGTCAGTGTTGTGACCAAGCATGAGGTCCAGGCTGGGGCTGTAAGTAAAGTAAAGATCAGGTCCTTTGCCAAGGCTGATGAAAAGGCCAATGTTGTGTCCAAGCCTGGGAGAAGGGGAGAGGTCAGCATCAATTTCAGGGCTGGGGACAAAGCTGGTATTATAATAGAGTCCAGTGATAGGGATGAAGAAAATGTCTGCTCCTGGTTCTGGACTGGAGAAGAGCCTAGTGTAGGATCCTGGTTCTGGCCTGAAGAAGAGAACCCTACTCAAGCTTATACTCCCCCACCTAAGATCCAGGAAAAGCCGAAGCCTACACCCGAACCTGAACTTACTATAAAGCAAAAAGCAGCTGCATGGTCACGGATCAGGTTTAGTGTCCTAGTTCCATTAGGGGAAGGGGAACCACCTTTACCTGCTGAAGGAAATTGGACTCTAGTTGAGACCTTGATTGAAACACCTCTGGGAATTCGACCTCTGACAAAGATCCCACCGTATAAAGGGCCTTACTTCCAGACCTTAGCTGAGATCAAAAGTCAGATTAGGTACAGGGAAAAGTATAGGCCCAATCCAAGAACCTGCCGCTGCAAATCACGTGACTTTAGTTTAGAGCCTAAAGAATTCGATAAACTTGTTGCCCTACTTAAGTTAACTAAGGATCCTTTCATTCATGAAATAGCCAGGATGATAATGGGCATCAGTCCTGCTTATCCATTTACACAAGATATAATTCATGATGTTGGTGTGACTGTTATGATTGAAAACTTGGTCAATAATCCCAATGTTAAAGAACACCCTAGTGTTTTAAATATAGTGGACAACTCTGAGTCTTCTGAAGAATTAAAAACAGGAGAGTCACATACACATCAAGTTTGTAAGGACATATTCTCTTACCCATTAAACTCCCCTATGCAACTAGCTGCACTAAAATTATTATTGCATCCAAGTGTGAAAGTTGAGGATCACCATGTGATTGCCAATTACATTCCAGATTTCCTTACCTTGTTAAACAAGGGAAGTGTCAAAACCAAGTTTTCTGTTTTAAAAGTGTTTTCGCGCCTGTCTAAAAATCAAGCCAACACAAGAGAACTGATCAGTGCCAAAGTTCTATCATCACTGGTTGCACTCTTTAACAAGAATGAGTCAAAGGCCAACATTCTTAATGTCATTGAAATATTTGAGAATATAAACTTCCAATTCAAAAAGAAGGGGAAGCTGTTTACCAAGGAACAGTTCACTAAATCTGAACTCATTTCCATATTCCAGGAAGCAAAAGAGTTTCGTCAGAAACTCCGAGACTTAGCAGAGCACAGTGATCCTGAGGTGAGAGATAAAGTTATACGATTAATACTCAAACTCTGAATAGTCATACATTCCTCACAAAGCCTTGAAAAATGTTTTGGTGTTGCAATATAAAACCAGTGCATATTACAATTGAAAATTCAATAGTTACGTGAAGTGTGTGATTGGAGGCAATTTTATGAATGTTAAATGATCCTGAGAGCTTGAATGTTGTTGATTTTTATTGTGGTGTATAAATTGTTATATTTTTAGTATTTCTGCATATGATCTGATAATGAACCTATTCATCCTAAGTAAGCTATACTCCCATGCTTTATGGTGGCGTAAGTGTATTTGCGACTTCATTTACATGTTAATAAAGTACTAAAACTGGAGAAAACGTTGTTTTAGTTGAAGTCTACTTGGAGGGATAAAGCACAAACAACACAAAAATGATAAAGAATATTTTATCTGTGTGTTAGGGGCTACAAACCTAAGTTCACACTGACACATCGTTTAGTTTCCACGTATTCAAGGAGTAGAATCACTGCACACGAAGACAGAGCTACTAGCTGACTTAGGTCCTAGCTGATAGGACTTTTAGTGAGGAATGAAGCACTTGGTGAGCAGTTTTGGGAAAGGGGCGAAGGCACAAACATAGAAGGAAGGGAATACAGAAGTTTTCATTTCAGTCTAAATCCCAGAATTCCAGCACAGCCATTCATACAGTCTGTCTCATCTGGATACCTTGAATTTATTTAACCCCAAAGAACATTCCTGTTCAGCAAAGCCATGGAAGTGTGGCTTTGAAGGGACTCAACCCCAGTGTGCCTTCAACATCCAGGGGTACCATATTTACTGCATCATCTGGCACTACCCACCCCTGTAGTCCTGGGCCTCACTATAGAAACGCTTCATGAACGAACTCAGTAGAACCTGTGAACTCTCATCCTTGCTTTTGTTTACTGGTCAATGTTTTTGACCTGGTGATTCACACCTGCCCTTGCTAGTAGCCCTTTGTTTGTGCTCAGTTCTATGGACACCTCAGCACACCAAAATCTTATATGGTGTGCAGTTAAGAAGAAATTAATTTCCCTAATCCCAACGTGCTATTTGTACAGTTTACAGAGCTACAGCCAGTTCTTTCTATTCATACACAACTGCTAGAGTCAGGCTGGGAACTTGTGACATAGAATGACATAGAATGCCAGACTATAGGATTGGGCTCTGGGGTCATTGCCACCTCTCCTACACTTTTGCTCCTTTGCTCAAGTTAGTGTTCTCTTAGCTCTGCTGCCCAGAATTAGGAAATGCAGATAACAGGAGTAGTGTAAGAATTCTTTTCACAGCTCTCCTGTGACTCTTCAGGTGCCTCTGTTTGTCTCCTTTTCTTAATAAGTCTTTCCTTTCAAAATGTAAAAAAAAAAAAAAATCCTTTGAACTTCCTCTCTTATCTCTTTTTGTGTATTGGGAGGAAAGCTTAACCTAAAATATCTCAACATAGTGTCATGTACCCCTACTTTTATCAATCCCTAAATAAGTATCAAGATTAGGTCTGAATCGTTCCTACATCTAGGCGTCAAGATGGACAACTAGCCACATTAGTGCATTAAGGATGAAAAATAGGCTTTTTGCAGTGTTCCACTGCAATTTAAATAATTTTTTGTAGTTATTATAAATTCCTCTTTAATCCATAGAACTCACCAAGCCTGGAATTCCAGCTGAGAGGATTACTTTCAGAGTTGGGAGTCTTCACAGTGTGATTGAACAAGACCATTTGGAAATAAATGTCTTATGCGACATATACTTAGTTGATGGCTAAGGAATGTTCCAATCTCAGCTAAATGGAAAGGTGAGTATGAACTGTAGGTATTTGTAAAAAAAAAAAATAAATAAATAAATAAGCTGATCATTTCTCCTTGAGAGAGAACTATGGGACACAGTCATTTCAGAATCATTCCTTAAAGTCCGAACCTCATTACTCATCTAGTTTCATCTCCTTTCCTGGAAAAATAATTTGGGCAAGCCATTGTTGTGTTAGGGCTGACCTAGTTGTTACCTCTCTTAAAATTGTTTCTGCCAAGGGCTAAAAAATCTGTGGAGCTCTCATTTCCTGTCATGGAGTAAAGCTAGTATATTATCTTTCTAGAGCACAGCTGGATCCTCTACCCTACCCACTTATCCTCTACCCTACCCTCATTTTAAGAGAGGAACTTTTGGTGGGAATTCTTCTATAAAATACCACATTCCGCTTTCAAGACTCTTTCCTTCAGCTCCTTACCATTTCTTGCCATTATATCCTGCCATTTGACATACAGTCCAGTCACACCAGACTGCTGTTTTATGAACTTTCCTATTTTGTGCATTTCCTCACGGTGTTCCTTCATCTGACAATGCCTTCCAACCATTTTCCTGCCTATGGGGAAACTACTCATTCTTTTAGGCCCAGCCCAAATGCCAGATCTTTTTTTTTTTTTTAAGGATTTATTTATTTGTACATACAGAACTGGGGTACAGGCCAGAGGCTCAGGGGCGGTGAGTGGCTTCACCAGAGACAGAGTGGGGAGCAGAACAGGCAGATGGACGAAGTTCACTGCTGAGGGGAGCAGTGGGCGGGTCAGGAGAGGTCTGCCACGCCATGTGGTCACCTCCGGGGCAGGCGGGAATTGAACTCATGCGGAAGTAGCTTTAGCTTCTCAGTGCTGTGCTTTAACCCGCTGCGCCACCAGGAAGGGCCAAATGCCAGATCTTTTTACAATTTTCCCTGATAACCTATCCTCTCTGTTTTCATGTTTGAATAAATAGCTCCTTCTGTGTTCCTAGAGCTTTTTATTTACATCTGTACTTTTGCCTATATCTTTGGACCATGTCTTATTAATATATGACTATATATTTAATTAAGGTATAACATTTCAATAATGCTCAAGTGTATAATTCAGTGGCATTAATTGGATTCACAATGTTTTGCAACCTACACTACTGTTTCCAAAACTGGTTCATCACCTAAAAGAGAAAGTAATTCCCTCCCCCTCTCCCTGTAGCCTTGGTAATCTCCAGTCTATTTCTGTCTCAATAAATATATCTATCCTAAATATCTTATAAATGGAATCATACAATATTTATGGCTTTGTATCTGATTATTTCACTTAGCATAAAGTTTTCCCTTTTTTAAAGATTTATTTATGCACACAAGAACTGGGGTACAGGCCATAGGTACAGGGGGTGGGAGTGAAAGGATTCACTAAAGACAGAGTGGGAAGCAGAACAAGCAGATATACTGAAACACACTCCTGAGGGGAGCAGCAGGAGGGTCAGGAGAAGTCTGTGGCGCCATGTGGGCCACATTCCTGACTGGGGATCGAACTCATGTTCATGCTGCAGTGGCTGCAGGTAGCTTAATGGTGCTGTGCTTTAACCTGTGGCTCCATCGCAGAGGGCCCTTAGCATAAAGTTTTCCAAGAACTCCATCCTTTTTATGACCTAATAATATTCCAGTGTGCTTAAACACCATCTTTTGTTTACTCATTCATTTGTTAGTTGGCATCTTTGATTTGTTTCTACCTTTTAACTATTGTGGATAATTCTGTAATGAGCATTGGTGTACAAGTGTCTGCTACAGCTGCTGCTTTCACTTCTTTTGAATATATACCAAGAAGTAGAATTGTTGGGCCATATGGTAATTATAGGTTTAGCTTTTTGAGAAACTGCCAAACTCTTTTCCACAGCAGCTGCACCATTTTACGTGCCCACCACCAACAATAAACAAGGGATTCAAGTTGTCTGCATCCTTGCCAACACATTATTTTACATTTTTAATAGCCATCCTCATAGGTGTGATATAGTATCTTACTGTGTTTTAATTTTTGTTTCTCTAATGACTTACAGTGACCATTTTTTTTCCATGTTTATTGGGTGTTTGTATATCTTCTTTGGAGTAATATCTATTCAAGCTCATCGTTGTTGGATTGTAATAGTCTTTTGTGCAGTCTAGGTACAAGTGCCTTGTAAGCTATATGACTTGAAAATATTTTCTCTGGTTGTTTGTGCTTTTGGTATTATATCTAAGAATCTGTTGCCAAATTCAAAGCGAGGAAGAGTTAACACTATTTTCTTCTAAGTGTTCTGTAATTATGACTCACATTTAAGTCATTGATCCATTTTGAGTAAATTTTTGCATGTAGTATCAACACGGTGGGGGGTCTAACTTTATTTTTATTTTTTTTTATATATGGAAGTCTAGATGTCTCAGCACTATTTTTTTGACAAAAGTTTCCCCATTGAATAGAATTGGCACCCTTGCCAAAATCAGTTGACCATAGACATATGGGCTTATTTCTGGATTCTCATTTCTATTCCATTCATTTCTATGACTGTCCTTAAGTCAGTACCACATATTTTTAATTATGGTAACTTTGTAGTAAGTTCAGCAATCAGGAAGTGTAAGTGCTCCAACTTTTTCTTCTTTTTCAAAATTGCTTTTGTTAATCTGAGTCCCTTTTTATTCCAACTGAAGTTTAGGGTCACTTTTTCAGTTATGCAAAAATTGGGGATTTAAATAGAGATCGCATTGAAAATGTAAATTGCTTTGGGGTGTTGTCAACTCAACAACAGTAAGTCTTCTAATCCAGTGTATCTACAGGATACATATCCACTTATATAAGTCTTTAATTTCTTTTAGCAATATTTTATTGTTTGTATACAAGTGTTTCTTTTTCTTGGTTAAATTTATTCCTGAATGAGTTATTATTTTCTATACTAGTATAAGTGGAATTGCTTTCCTTATTTGCTTTTCAGGTTATTCATGCTGATATACAAAAACATAGCTGATTTTTATGTTTGATCTTATAAACTGCAACTTTGCTAAACTCTAAAAATTATTTCTAGTAGTTTTTCTTTGTAAAGCCTATATATGAACATATCATGTAAAAATAGGGCCACTTTCTTTATTAATTAGACATCTTTTATTTTGGGGGGCATGTTTGCCTTATTTCCTAATCTTAGGGTGAAAGCTTTCAGTCTTTTTCATTTTTAGTATTATGCTAGCTGTGAGTTGTATTGTTTTGTGTGTGGTTTTAAAGCCCTTTATCATGTTAAGGAAGTTCCCTTCTATACCTAATTTTATGAATGTTTTTATCATGAAAGAATATCAGATTTCATCAAATGCTTTTTTGCATCAAATGAGGTAATAGTGTGGGTTTTTCTATAAATGTGATACATTGTTACACTTATACATTCTATAAATGTGATTACATTATCCTATTAAAGTGGTATATTACATTAATTGATTTTTGTATGTTGACTACCGTTACATTCCTGGGGTAAATCCCACTTGATCGTGGTGTTTAATCATATTATATACTATCGGATTTGGTGTGGTAGTATTTTGGAA